TTAGAAGTATTGGTATATTATTAGGAAATCTATTTTTCGAATGGTTTAAAAAGCCTTCGGTTCGGTGTCTTTCCCTCACAAATACTAGATACCTTGATTATTTTAGTCTCAAAAGAGCAACACATAATGAGTATAAAGTAATTCAAACCTATCAGCCTTTGTAATGTGAGCTATAAAATTCTTATGAAGGCTTTAGTCTAGAGAACTAAACCTTTGATGGATTGGTTAATTAGTCCTTTTTAGAGTGTATTTATCTTTGGGTGCACATGTACAAATAAGATATTATTAGCCTAGAAACTAATGCACACTATTCAAATATCAAGGAAGAGGTTGAATGGTCATGCATTCTATGGATGTGCAAAATAAAACAAACATTTTCTCCATCTAAAGGGCTTAAGATCATCTTGTTGAATTAACTAACCATATATTCATGAATTAAAGTGATGAATAAAGAATTACCTCTTGTAGTGCGGACTTAGACCTTTATAGAAAAGTGCTATCTAAGTGTTCGACCTTTATCGATAATCTAGCGAGTCGAAGAACCCATAAAAAAAGCACTCAAAATTTATAGAGTTCTAGCTTTATCTTTTCCGACTTGTCTCTCGTGTCTTATAGAAATCTAATCGGGGTAATATTTATGATAACCCAAAGAGAGAGAGGAAAAAACGTTATGCTAGGGTTAAGAAGAAAACAATTTTCTCCTTCTTTTATTTTTCAGCAATGCACCCTAATTTCTTTTCTTGTTGTGTCGAATTTTCTTTCTTCCAAAAAATTTATGTTTGTTATAACTCTCTCCCATATATATAGGGGAGAGGCTTCTTTGTCCTCTAAGGACATGGATGGGCGACAATGAGTCCTTAATGGACTCTAGGCTATTGCTTTTTAATCCTCCAAGGATTATGAGTTATTTTATATGTGGACCTTTTTGATCTTTATCTTTAAAACATTCATCCTTATCCAATAAGGTTCATGTTTATCTTCTCATCAAAATATCTTTTAGGCTTTTAATTAAATTTATGGCCCAAAACCATTTTGGCTTAATTAATTAATTTATACTATTCAAATAAATTAAGCTAGATAATTTTAGGAGGCCCACATTAGAAAATAATGTTCCAAATTATCCTTAAACCTAAATTAAGAAACTAATTTTCATTTTAGGTTATTCATTCTAAATTTGGAATGAATTTCCAAATTAGTAAACTAATTTCTAAAATAGAAAAATTTTCATTTTATGAAACTTTTCGTTTTTGAAAATCGTTTTCAAAATAGAAAACTTTCATAGTTGGAAACTTTTTTCAACATCTTTGGTTTTCTTTAATCATGTGAATGCTTAAACTTATGTATATGACTTAATAGACTCCTAGATATATTGGCAATGTATCAAGAATAAAAGATAACTCTTTTATCTCTTGATATATAAGTCAAGATTAACCTCCAAGTAAGGCATCATGGCTACCCAATTCTCTAGGAGAATTAATTAATCTACGATTACTTTTCATAAACACAGCTTACCATACAATTTAGTCTTCGTGTTAACTTATCACAAGTGTGATTTCAAATATGGTTATTATTCTTGTTCGATTATGATCACACAAGTTTTCTTTGATTCTCAAATGTCTTAGCTCTTAGAGTAAACCAACTATGCTCTATTGGTGTACTCCTACCATAGCCATAGATTTCTTGAGTAGACATTCATCAAAATATATTCGAGTTCATCATGTCTTACACCTTAAATTCTTTACTCGTGTCTTTTATGGAACGATGTCAAATTATCTAGCTTTAGTCCAAAGCGAAGGCTTCGCCAAGGTGGCTCTCTTTCTCTATATCTCGTTTGTTCTATGTATGAAAAAATTATCTCGTTGTTATGAACATTAAATTGGCAAACAACCTATGGAAACTAGTCTCGATTTTTGCATGGTGGCTTGGTAGTGTCCCATATTTTATTTGCCGATGATGTGATATTATTCTCTCATGCCTCTCATAAACATTACATAGTCGTTTTGAACACTATGAAGTAGTTCTGTTCAACCTCGGGGATGATGATTAATGAACTTAAACCTATGTCTATAAATCTCTTTACACATCTTGACAACACTATGAGGAGTTAAAGAGATGGATGAACTTCTCATTCACTTCTTATTAGGGGAGTTACTTGAGAATCCTTCTTTTTATAACAAGAAATAGATCCTCCTTCAAAGATCTTACTAAGAAGATCCACATTTGTCTAATAAGATGGAAATCTAAGTTTGTGAACAAGGCTAACCGATACTCTGCGGTACAGTTCATAATATCATCCATTCTTCCTTATATCATACGATCGATATGACTCTTTTAAGCTCTTTGTAATGTGATTGACCAACTTGCCAAGGGTTTCCTCTAGGGGTTTCTCGAGGATCGTTCGAGAATTTACTTAATTAATTGAGAATCTATTACTTGGTTCGGGTTTTCGATTGGCAAGAGACAAAAATATTACTATGTTGGGAAAATTAGGTTGATTCGGGATATAAATAAGTTATGGGTTCGTGTTTTGTCCTAGAAGTACTTATATGGTGAGTCGTTTATGTCACATTATCCCCTTTAGTCGACCTTATCGATAGGAAAAGCTATTTGTTTGTCCTTCTCTTACTTGAAGGATAGGTACATCTAGCTGATTGGGGATGACTAGAAGATCTCTTTATGATTTGATAGATGGTTAGCCGATGTTTTATAGTATCTTAAGTCTAATATTGATTTAGAGGAAAAAAGGTTCTTGGTAGTAGATATTAACTCGAACTCGGCAATTGGGATTTATCTCATCTATGCACCACTCTCCCTACTCATATTCATGCCTTTTTATTATTAACTCCTTTTACGAAAGTGTTCTCATCTACATACATAATAGTTTGGGAAGAAACTAGCTCTTGATGTTATATTGCTAAGTCCAAATATGAGTTTATCATATGACTTCCTTTCCTAATAAATTCCAACTTACATTGGAAGAAAATATGGAGCTCGAAGCTAGCATAGAAACACTAATTCTCCCTATGATAGTTGGAGTGACAACGTCTTTCTAATAATGTTCTCTAATTCTTATATACCAAATATGTGGTAAGGTACAAGAAACATTGTTATATACCCTTCGAAATTGTGTTTGGGATAAGTCTACTTGGCAAGAACAACATATCTTTGCTAACTCCTCTAATTTTTTCTCGGCTTCATAGGAGTTCGATTCCATGGCAATGCCTTTTGTATAACGACTCTTTGGACACAACACTACCTCTTTACTCTCACTTGTTGGATTATTTGGTATGCATGTAATAAAGAAGTTATTCAAGGTGTTATACTTCTCTCTAGATGCTAGGTAAATTTAATTCACTCTCTCATCCATAATTTTGTTTTAGCTTTTGACACTCCACCTTTTGCACATCCGCCTCTAGTGTTGGGTTTCTTTATTAGCCCTCTCTTAAGACTCGGTTAAGTGCAACACTAATGGTAGTTTCTTGAGCTCGACCGTTGGTGCTCGGGAAGAGAGGTCTTATCTAGGACCATTGTGGTGTTTGAAAAATTAGTTTTTTAGGATATCTTGGGCACTCATCTATTATAATGGTAGAGTTATAAGCGTACATCGTGGATTCATCTTGGCTCGAGAGTGTGGCTTTAGGAAAGTGATTATAGAGATTGACTCGAAAAAGCAATCCGTGCTATTTATAATGGAGTTCTACTTACTCATTTATACTACAATATCATTATTGATATTCAATGTTTCTACCAACAATAATGGTATACATCATTTAACCGTACTTCAAGAGAAGATAATCGGGAGAGTGATCATCCGACTTGTATTGATTCTTCAAATGATATTCTCCTTTGAGTTTGGAATCTTCCTCCCGACATTGAATATGTTATATCTAGTGATGTTGTTGGTATTTATTTATTGAGACCTTAGCTTCTGCCTCCTTCCTTTGCACCAAAAATAAATAAATAAATAAATAAAATAATTCATCATTGTTTTCAAAAAAAAAAAAAAGCATTCATCGTTGTCTTATATATGTATATCGTCCACCACAAATTGCCATATCAATAATTAACAAGTCAGAAATAAATAAAAAAGGTCAAGTATATTTCTAAAATTATTACTCGGTTTTCAAATAGCGGCAGTACCGGATTCACACACCATCAATCAATCCTAGTTCCTTTTTCTTTCCTTTTTTTTTTTTTTTGTCGTATCATCAATCTTGGTTATAAATACGTTAATGAAGGTCAATTGCATGGACCAATAGCATCGATATTTTAGCCCATGTTTGACCTCAATCTTTACGATACAACCCTACCCACATGTGGGAGGACATTGCAGTCACCGAGGGCCAATACAAGAGGCAGATAAAGTTTGACCATCAAGGTGCTGTGACTTTTGTAAGGTACGACACTTCAAAGATAAAAGCAGTACTAGCGGGGGTCAACTCAAACGAGTTGGATTGAGTCCTATTACTAAGTTTAAATATTTTAAATCTTAATTAATAATATTAGCATTAAAAACATTTATTAAATTTCTTTTCAATATATCAAGTTGGTGTGGAGAGTAAATTCTTAAGATTTTTTTTTTAAAAAAGATTCGATCAATTGAAATACAAATTGATATAAAAATATCATTACATCAAATAAATAAATAAATAGTAATGCATGGTCCTCGCATTGCGGCTTGAACCTCTCTCTCTCTCTCTCTCTCCATGTTGTCTTACTTATAAGGTTGGTTGAAGTTGAATTCTTCTAGTTTTGTTTAATATACTAAAAGTATGCACATAATAAATAGTAGTTGTAATATTGGTTCTTAATTTATAGCGACTGGATTGGAGCATTGTTGACTTTTTTTGTTTTTATTTATGCCTCTGTTTTTCTTGCAAGGCTAACGAGGGTTGAATTTTTTTTTTAATAGTCAAATACAGCATGGTCATTATATAAAGAGGGATCGAGGTGTTGTTGAGATAGCAAAAAAAAGTAAACAGGAAGAATAGATCATAAAAATGGATTTGGAGAATGCCTTGAGAAGAGCTCGTGATGAAGTTGTGCTGAAGGAAGAGGAAAGAGTTGACTCTAGTGGTGATGAAGGTAGTTGCAGAGAAGAGGCTGCTAGTAAGGTGAAGCCTTTTCTTTTGCTAATTGTGATTCAATTCATTCATACGTTGATCCCTTTCTTGTTTAGAGGCGGCTTCATGATTGGAATTCATCAATCTGCTCCCTTGTCTTTTTTTTTTTCTCTCTTTCTAAAGCATGTTAATTAACTATTATTTTGAATGAACACCTATCAAGAGTATCAACTGAATTTTGGACGATTTGATCCCTTAAAGATTACATGGAGGTGTTTTAAGAATATGGTGACCGCATATATATGTATATAGAATCAAGAAACTATTTTCCAAAACCTTGATTTTCTTCAATTTATTTATTATATATAGCACTTAATTTTTTTGTGGAGCATGCAGATCTCTCTCTCTCTCTCTCTCTTTTTTTTTTTTCTTTTAATTTGTTTGTATTGCAACCTTTAATTTCATTTACAGTTTAAGAATTCTCTTGGTGAAATAATTGTTCAATTATGTTTCAATTAAAGTTTAATTTCATTTATGCCAAAATTTTTCATGGCTGTACTTTCTGTATACTAGTACGTACAGGTTGGAAGTAAAAGAGCATACCATGAAAATAATGACCGGAAATCTTCTTCACCAAAACATGGAGATTCAGGGGAGCAGCCGGTAGGTAGTACGTAGATATATAGTGTTTGAGATTCCCCACACCCACCCCCTTCTATATATACCTGATCTCCTTTACTATTATTTTTTCCTTAATCTTTTATTATATTCGAACTTTGATACTTACAAAAATGACAACTTTTAAACAGGTGGGTGTAGCAACTAAGAAGGGAAGAACCACCATGGAAGCTGATACAAAAGCATCTTCCTCAAGCCAGAAGGAACAGGTTAGAATTAATTATTGTTTCTACATATTGTTTTTGTTACTATCAATCATGAAAAATAAAATAAAATATTATGATATCTAAACTAAACAAAGCTAGTATGCATGCATGCAGCACAATTGCTTTTTAATTAAGTTTCTTCTCCATAGATGAATATATCTTACACTCGAAGAAAACACTTATTTTGTGATAGAAATTTGTGTGAAAGAATAATGTAATTCGGTCTCAAATTTAAGAATACAGTACAATTTATTATTATTATCATTATTATTAATTTGTACTCAGAATTTGCTACCATCACAAACTCCTTAAATTTTAAAATTTTCAACTAATTTCCTTCTTCTTTTTCAAATTTACACCAAAATATTTGTTTTCTCTCTCATATACAGTTTAATTATATAACCCTTTTTCTCTTTTGCTCTAACATATTTTTCCATTAATTCTCCTTCTCACTCACTCTTTTCTCCCTATCCCTCCCTCAAATGCATTTTCTCTTCATCTGTCTCTCTCACTCTAACTGATCAATCTCTTAACAACTTCAACTTATTGTCTTTATTCCATCTATCTCTTACCACTTTATTTCATTCTTCCCTCGACTAATTTCATTTCAGCATATTGTTTCTCAATTTTTTTTTATATCATATTCTAACTCTCATTAATTAACTTTATTTCTATTAAAAATTGATTAACTAAAAATTAGTTATTTTTTTTTACTTTATTATTTAAACTGAAGATGAAGATGGTGTCATTCCAAAAAAGAAGAAAAAATGATGTTGGTGACAAATAATAGTAGTATCAATTATTCGAAAGTAATGGTCATGATTATGATTAATATTTTTAGGAAATTGAGTATTTCACAAAAATCATAATGATGATTATTACTATTATTAGTTATTATTATTTTTTTTATGAATATTAATTATTTCGGACTAATCAAAATTTTATCTTTTTGCATTTGAATGGTGGATGGATTTTGTTTATAAGTATATGGATTTTAGTTTTATGATAAGACACATTGAGATGAAGATTATTTTCTCAATATTTGCGTGTGCAGGACGATCAGCTTGAATCTGCAAGAGCTGAGATGGGTGAGGTAAGAGAAGAAAATCAAAGGCTAAAAATATATTTGGATCGCATAATTAAGGATTATCGGACCCTTCAAATGCAATACTATGAACAAGAAGAAACAAAGAAATCTACAGATACTACCGATGATCATCAAGGAATTGAAGAACATGAGCTTGTGTCTCTTAGCCTTGGGAGAAATTCAAGTGAACCTACAAGGGATGGGAAGAGTAAAACTTCTAGCCAAGGGAAAAATCACGATGAGCAAGCTGAAGAAAGCCTCTCTCTTGGATTAGACTGCACATTTGAAGCGTCTAAATCTGATACGAATGAGACTGTGCCAAATCCAAGCCCCATGAACAGTTTTGACGAGCCAAAGGAAGAAGCTGGGGAGGCGTGGCCACCTAATAAACTTCTCAAGACAATGCAAGGAGGAGATGATGAAGTTCTGCAACAAAACCCTGCAAAGAAAGCAAGGGTTTCTGTGAGAGCTAGATGCGATACCCCAACGGTCAGTATAAGGATTAATATGCGACCATAACTCAAAGTTGATAATATATATATATATATATATATATATATACATCAGTTAGATCAATCCTTTTCTTTTATGTTTTTTAACAACAAACTCGGATACGATCGTAACTTCCTCATCAAGGAATCAATAAACAATATGAGTAATTTATTTTAAATGCATTAGTCGAAATATATTATAATTGCATGACACTCAACGCAAATCGCAAATCTTAATTAGAGAAATTTGTTTCTTAGCTGTAGTCTGTTACGATATTGTGATGACAATTGTTACTGATGCATATACAGATGAATGACGGATGCCAATGGAGAAAATATGGCCAAAAAATTGCAAAAGGGAACCCATGTCCTCGAGCATACTACCGTTGCACAGTTGCATCATCATGCCCAGTAAGGAAACAGGTAACCACAACTCACCATCTCGAAGTAATTAATTAAGAACGGTATTTAACAAAAGAAGAAGAAAATTAAAGACAGTACATACTGTATATACGAAAAATCAAACAAACAAGTATATATAATGTTGTTGTAATTAGTTAACTTTTTCATTAAGTACATTTTCTTGTATATAAATTTCAGGTACAAAGATGTGTTGAAGATATGTCCATCTTAATCACCACCTATGAAGGAACACACAACCATCCACTTCCCATTTCTGCCACAGCTATGGCTTCTACCACTTCTGCAGCTGCTTCCATGTTACTGTCTGGCTCATCATCGAGCTCTAGAGCTACAGGTCCCAGCACATCATCCAAGTACTCCAGCACCATTGCCGCTGATCTCCATGGACTTAACTATTATCTATCCGATAACTCAAAACCAAAGCAATTCTATTTGCACAACTCTTCACTGTCATCTTCATCTCCATATACTACAATTACTCTTGACCTCACTTCAAACCCATCCAATACTTCATCTCATTTCAATAGCTTTACTACTTCAAGCTACCGCCCTACAATTCAAAATTTTGCTTCAACAAGCCTCAACTTTGGGTCCTCCGAGTCGTCTAATTCAGTGACTTGGGGCAATGGGTTCCTCGGTACTTATGGAATTAGTACTTCCGGCCTGTCTTACAACAGGAACCAACTTGGAACTTTAAATATTGGAAGACCAGCTATGGAGAGTAGCATTTATGATCAGTCCAGCTACCTTCAAAAGAATAATAACCCAGCAGCTGCTAGTTCTCAACAGTCACTACCAGCTGATACCATAGCTGCTGCAACCAAGGCAATTACAGCAGACCCAAGTTTCCAATCTGCTTTAGCAGCTGCTCTCACTTCAATCATTGGCACCGGAACTGGTGGTGCAAATTTAGGTATTGTTAATAGTTTTGTTCCAAAGTCGAAATGGGGACCAGTAACTAATAGCTTCTCATCATCATCTTCTAATGGCAATCCATGTGCAACAAGCTACATGAACAATACGACGTCTTCAACAAACTCTCAATCAGCTGCAAGTTTGATGGCAATATTTGGCGGGCCACCTTCATTGCCATTTTCTAATCCCACGAATGCATCCTCATCTCCTGTTGACAAAAAAGATCATGCCAACTGATCACTTTTATGACTTGTTGTAGACGTCTATTGTTATAGTTATTGATGATTTATACGGTTTTTATACGACCATTAATTAATTAATCAGGTTTTTTTTTTTTTTTCACTAAATTTAACATAAATTGAGTAACTGTCTTAGTGGAGGTATCCTTCAACTTGATTAACGTACAATTTCTAATATTTTCTTTTCTTTTCTTAATAACAGAAGACATTTAAATAAAAAAAAGAAAAACAACATAAACTTCCTTGGACTTTTTTTTTTTTTTTTTGATAAAGAAGGAGAGCTTAAGCTCTAAACTATAGGAATAGGATTACAAAATCTTGGAATGGCAACCCCACACAAATCCTCAAAGAGGATGGGAAGACAATCCCTAGCAGCATTAAGGAAGTAAGTAACTCCCAAAGGCAGAGAATAAGCATAAGAAGCGAGTCAGTCTGCAACTCTATTGGCCTTAAGATAAATATGGGATATCTGAACTTCTTTGGACTTTGAATCTCACTAACACATACTATCAAGCCTTTTAATTGTGCTTAATTAAATGATTCAAAAACCTAACCAAAAAAAAAAAAAAATCAAAATAATATCCTAAGTTTCCACCGTAACTCTCCATCTACCTTCGCAGATCCAACTCCTAATTCACTCATTTTTTTATCAACAAGAAAACCCATCAAAATTTAAAACTTTCATTTCAGTTCTTGGTATTTCATATTTTATGCCATAACCCAAATCCCACCCCTTTCCATTTTTTATCCTTTTTATTTTATATTTTTTATCCTCTTTTATTAATTGTTTTATTTGTTTCTTTTTTTATTTCATTTTATTTTATTTTGTAATTTACTACAAAAAGAAAAAGAAAGAGTGAAACAACATCTAAAATACAAAAAAAAGAAGAAGACATAAACTACAAAATAGCAAAAAATTAATTACATTAGGGGCATAACTCGAATCAAACGGAATTGAAATTGAGGCAATTTTGGATACAATCGAGCAACTCGAAAATTCTAAAACTGAAATTAAAAGACTTAGTGACCTAATTAATAAATTTAAAAATATAGGATCTACAATAACACATCCAGAGCGTACAATTGAAAGAAGGTTGAACCTATAGGGACCTAAATCAACCTAAGACACGAATGATAAGACCAATTCGGGATAACCCGAATAGCATGTTGTCCAAGCTTCCCAACAACACTCCAAGCACACCGAGCTCCAATCCTCCCTACCCTTCGGTATCGCTCATGTCTTCAAAGAAGATAGTGGACCAAAGGGACAAAACTCACTCTTGGTCGACATTTGTACTTGCTAAGAATCACGCCTATGCCATTAGTAATACCCGCACACAAAGCACACACAAAACACACTAAAACCTATATATTAGCATAAGTTTGGAGAGAATTAGTCGTTGTGGGAATTTAGGGCTTAAGGTAGTTAGGGTTTTTGAAGTAGGAAACAATGGTGGGAAAATAGAGAAAACCATTAAGGGGGCAAGGGGAAGAATAATTGAGAAGAGGGAACAATTGACAAAAAAAAAAAAAAAAACAATTGAGAGGAATTGAAGTAGAAACAAATTGTAAAAAGTTTAGAAGCTAGGGATTCTTACCTAGCTATGGGAAGAAGGAGACATTGGGGCTAGCATCACCGAGTTAGCCTCTATAGTTCCCGGGCTTTGAAAGGATTCTGTTCCCCCACTCGAGTAGCCACTACCTATTACCATTGCATATCCTCACCTAGGCTCTCTCAATCGGACACCCGGATAAGAGTTTTCCTTCAATTTGTAACTCCTATTTGTATCGGTATAACCCATGAAAGCTCTAAGAAGAACGATGATGATGATATTCATCATTTTCATCCCATAGAAGCCCAAACACCTTTTTTCTTTTTCTTTAATTCTATATCATTATTGCATCCGATTTTATGGAAGGAGAGGATTGTGACTCACGAGGGTTAGATTTAAAGGGTTACCCACTCGATTCTAGTTTAGTTTTCGGATTTAGGGCTGGATTAGGATAAAAAGGGTGACTTGGGCTTCGAGGATTCATAAGAGAGGAGAGAAAATAGGGATTTAAGGTCGTATGAGGGTTTGATTCTAGGTGTTCTGGTTCAATTTTAGGTTTCGATTGAAGGTTAAGACAAGATAGAGGTAGAAAATAGATCTAAGCGTCGAGATTTGTAAGATAAAGAGGAGAAATTAGTTGAGGTTTTAGGTTTCCTATATCGCTACTCGACATCGAACGGGAACCCCTAATAAAAATTAAGATTTGCATTACATTTATGATTTACTTTTGAGGATATAATTTATTATTTAATTTAGAGTCATCACCTAGTATTGAAGAAACTAGGAATCTAAAAATAGCAATAGTTCGGAGATTCTAGGGTAAACAATTGGTTACACTTTTGAAAAGATATCAATTATCTAAAAGCGTCCTTTCATAAAAAACATACCACATCTAGTTTAGTCCTAAAATTCATCCCTTAAGGTGTTTTATTTATACCAAATTATTTTCAATTTATACTCCAAGTTTTCAAGCCAAATTAAGTTTTTTATTTTTGAGAGTGACATCATATTGAAACGATCGTCGGATCTCTTCGTTAGGAGACATGTCGATTCAAACATCGGATTTACTTTAAGTCTCGACACAACCAGGTGTGTCGGAGAACATCTTGATTATTAAATGATATTCCCTATCAAATAGAAAACTTATAAAGAATTTTGATTTTTTTTTGTTAACAATTATCCTTATCGGATATGAAACTTTGTCAAGAATTTTATTTTTTATTTTCTCATCTTTTATTTATTTTTTTGTTAACAACGAGTCTCTATCATAAAGGAGATTTCTCCGAAAATTTTATTATATTTTTGTCATGACGATTCCTATCGGATAGGAGATTTCGTTAAGAATTTTAATTAATTTTTTTTTAAATTTTGTCAACGACAATTCTTATTAGATAGGAGACGTTGTTAAGAATTTGTATTTTTGTATTTTCTTTTTTTTTTAACGATAGTCCTTATTAGATAGGAGACTTTGTTAGAAATTTTAATTAATATTTTGTATTGATATGGAATCGTCATTAGTGCCTATGAATTAGAAGACTCAATAATTTGCTCACCCATTAACTACCTAATCTAATTATTGAAATAAATTCTAAAATTGATATTAATTAAATAAATTCAAAAAACTAAAAATACTAAATCTAAATTAAGCATAAAATAGTAATAAAAAAGCATGCACACATAAAAATAAACCAAATCATTATTAAAAATGGATAAAAAGATCTCTATGATGCTATTGAAAAATGACCAAAGTACCCCTAGAGGTAAAATTATCAAAATGCTCTTAAAAGCCAAATAGCCACTACGGATTATCCCTTCACCTTCCGGCCACCCTTTAAGCATGTGAACCATCTTGCTCGGTGGAGGAGCTTATCACAAACCTAACAAAGGTGGTGGCAGCCATAAATGACATTAGAGGAGGGAGATCAAATGGCTAAAATTTTGATCGGATCTCCTCTTCTTCCTAGTGATGATTTCGATAATGATAATGAGTTTTGAGAATACTAATCAACTCGTGAGACTAATAAGAGTATTTTTTGTGATGGTTAGGAGGTCTAATTTGGCCGAAATCGATCAATTTTTTTGAATTTCATAAAATAGGTCGAAGTCAAATTGCCATTGATAAATCCATTTTCCAATGACTTTTGGTCATAATTCTAAAGGGGAACCACTCAAATGAGTTAGTCGACTAGGTTTCGGTGGTGAGAGTTGGTGTTTTGGTCAAAATTGTGAGAATTGATCGGCTACAAAACCAAGTCGGATCATCAACCTTTTCTCTTCAATTTCGGCCTCCTCCAATGTCTCCTCCTTCTTTAACTCGGTCGGGATCGATGGATTTAATGATGGGCTATCCATTAATGATGGTGATTAGAGTCAAAATCAATGAGAAATGAGTCGATTTGAAGGAGAAAAGCATGGCCGAGTAAACGGGTTAAGCCGACGGGTTTTGGGTTTTCTTAGGAGTTGTTTGGCATTTTTTTCAATGGGTGATTTTCATGATGGTATTTATGGAGCTTTTTAGGATGATAGAGGGTGGCTAGAGTTGTAGGAGTGTTATGGTAATTGATCAAGTCGAAGAAAATATTGGTGGTAGTGGGTTGAGAGATAGATGAGTGAAAGTTTTGTTTTTTAGTAATAAAAAAGCATAAAATAGTAATAAAACAAGCATGCACACATAAAAATAAACACATAATGGAAATAAACCAAATCATTATTAAAAATGGACAAAATGTCTCTACGATGGTACTAAAATAAGACCAAAATATCCCTAGAGGGAAAATTACTAAAATGCTCTTAGAAGTCGAATAGCCACTCGCGGATTGTCCATTCACCTTTTGGCCACCCTTCAAGCATGTGAACTATCTTGCTCGGTGGAAGAGCTCATCACAAACCTAACGAAGGTGGTGATAGCCATAAATGACACAAGAGGATTTTTATAATGATAATGAGTTTTGAAATACCAATCAACTCGTGAGATTGAGAAGAGTATTTTTTTATGATAGTTAGAAGGTCTAATTTGGTCAAAATTGACTAATTTTTCCGAATTTCATAAAATAGGTAAGAAATAGATTGTCATTGATTAATCCATTTTCTAGTGACTTTTGGTCATAATTCTAAAGGGGAACCACTCAAGGGAGTTAGTCGACTAGGTTTTTGGTGGTGAGAGTTGGTGTTTTAGTCAAAAGTGTGAGAATTGATCGAATACAAAACCAAGTCGGATCATCACCCTTTTCTCCTCAATTTCGGCCTCCTCCGACGTCTCTTCATTCTCTAACCGGTCGGGATCGATGGATCCGATGATGGGCTATCCATTAATGATGGTGATTGGAGTCAAAATCAATAAAAAAATGAGTTGATTTAAACGAGGAAAGCACAACCAGGTAAACGGGTCAAGCCGACAGGTTTTGGGTTTTCTTAGGAGTTTGGCATTTTTTCAATGGGTGATTTT